TAGTACCTTAAACTGCAGTAAACAAATAACTCCCAATGAATTAACCGTAATCATACAATACAACACGAAAATCCATAATCCATTTAAAGTAATAGATTGAGTTCAGACCCGGCCGGAAGGGGCACGAGAATTAAACTGGGGTTGCTTTTGCCTTGACAATTTCGGATGCGATGAATTCCCCTTCTGCGAGTTCTGACCACGCGAATCCATGGAATTATACAACTGGTTAACAAATGATGCTTCCATGGATTTGAGGTACATGCTGTGTTTCTCATCCGTCCATTCTGTAGACATAGTTTCAGTCCGAGCCGCCATACCCTAATACCAGTTGCACACAATCATCACAAAATCTTCAGAACACATTCAAACTAACACAAACAATTTCATACACTGACAATATATTACTTGCATAAATATCATAAAGGAAAATTTGACATTCAATTCATATTTACCCAGATGAGCAGTAGCATGACATATATCAGATTTCCAATTAATATAAGAACCTAAGAAGGATTGGGAAAAAAAAAATAATAATATACCAAGGATCTTATATTCTAATTATTTACAAAAATCTATAAAATAAGTCAACCCCATCTGGGTGCAATTTCCGTTAGATCCCAGCTCAAAGATGAAGACTTTCTAAAACAAATTTAAGTTTAACTGGGTTTTATTATTCCTGCAAAAATTTGTAATTCTCAAAACTAAGAAATGGGAAACACCGAAAAAGATCCAAGTAATGATTTTTCAGCAAAAAAAAAAAAAAAAGGGGATGTACCAAGCCGTCGGAAGGAGGGTCCTCCGCCGCCGCAGCAACCCCGCCCAGCCGCTCACCGGTCTGCATAGAAACCTTCAACTCTCCCCCACTGAAATTATCCATAACTACCAAGAACACCCACCTCTCAGAATCTAAGAATTTTTAATTTTTAATTTTTTTTTTGGAGTTCCGAAAATTTTCAGATGATTCGAGAAGGAGACGAAAGAGGAAAGAGTTTGAGGAATTAAAATGCGATGGGGGTTTTGGGCCTTTTGGAGGCGGTGATGGGAACGAAACCGTACAGTTGTCATGCCTTTTACACGTGTCATGGGGCCATGGCGTCGCCACGTCACTCCCGGGTTCGATGGGGGCAGCCCAGATATTTATTGGAGGCCTCCAAAATATCTTTTGTCGATTTGGTTTTCGATCTTTCTGGATTACGTGGCATCCCCACTTTTTACTGTCAACCCACACGCCTCTTGGCGCGCGCTCTTTCCCTTTCGGGTCCGGTCGGTGGTCCTATCTTTTTCGTCTTGATATTTGTTTGGTTTCTTCGTTTTGAGCTTCTGAGGTCAAAGATATTTTGCGTATTATTTCTCGAATATTAATCTAATCGTATTATCGACCAATCAAACGCATAGCCTTCTCTCATTTTTTCAAATCTCGAAATAATTAGTCTTCACTATATTATCGTTATCTCATTTCTATATCTTTAATATCTTATTGATGTAACACTGTAAATATCTAATTTTGATCGGTCTAATAATAAAAAATTTATTTTTTCATCGTTTTAATTAATGTTCTATTTTTCCGTCATCATTTAGTTTGGTTACGAGCATTCTTAATGGGTAAAAAAGTGCCAATTTATCCGTCATTTTCAAATTAATAGAGCATCTCTAAAAGAGATATTAAATCCTAGGTGAAGATATGATTGTGCAAATTTGACATAAAAAATTCTTCAAACTAAAGTGTTATTTGCTTACTGAATTTAAAGCTTTTGTATTTAGGAGTCAAATTTGTCATCACCGTCAAATTTATTTTTGATTAGCTTAATGGTGTGTCTGTTATTCCACTAACATTGCAACCAATATTGTTTCAACAATTTTTTTAACAAATATAACCATTTAAAGCTCTACATTAATAGAAAATTAATATGTAACAACTCATTTAGACAACACACAAAATTTGACATAAAAATTCAGATGACACATCAACCATCAATTTTAATTTAACTCTAATAATTTGACATTTTCCATTGAATACGGTCTTACATCTGTTAGCTATCTTCACTTTAACATCCAAAAGTAACTCTTTATTAATTTATTTCTTTTGACGGTTGACAGCAAATTAATACATTATACGAAAATATTAACAGATTAAAAACCAAGTTGAAAGTTTGAAATGAACGGTGAGATGAATGTGGGGGTAACATTGTTGATTACCTTCCATAAACATAAATATCTGAATTTGGTGAGGTCCTATGGAATCACTGAAATTTAAAATATAGAAAACGACGTGTTGGGATAAAGAAATGCCGTCACTTTTATGAAAGTTCTGCCTCACTAAATAATACAAAGTTTGCAATTTGATTCTTTTTTTCTAGGCCCTTCTTTAGGGATATTTTGGAGTAGTTTTAAAAGAAATATAAAAAAATCCACATCAACAATAACGTTTTTTTAATAAAAATGTCAATTCTTGACATGACATAAATTTGTAGCAATAGAATTATTGTCAAACTTGACGAATGAGAATCCTCTTCGAATTCTCTTTGTGAGGATCCTGGAGATTTTCAAATCGTATCCGTTCATGATACATCGTGTGGTCATAAATTATTTAATTTTTTTTATTTAAAATTAAACATGAACAGTACCTGACAAAATCTGACTGCAGGATAGACGATAAACGGATACAATTTTAGAATCTCTGGGATCCTCGTTCAAACTTGACAACATCTTCAAATAATTTTTATGAATTTTTTATTGGTTAAAACATTGATTTATTCTAAAGATTTTATTTCAATTATAATTTGATTGTATTAGTTATTACAATTTAAAAAAAGAAAAACTAATGAAAAGAATTTGAAAACTTTGAGTTTTAAGAATAATGATAAAATAAAGGGTAAAATAAATAGTACCATGATTGACTTTTTAGTGTAAAAATATGATTTTTCATTAAATAATATCTTCAAATAATTTTTATTAATTTTTTTATTGGTTAAAACATTGATTTATTCTAAAGATTTTATTTCAATTATAATTTGATTGTATTATTTATTACAATTTAAAATAAGAAAAACTAATGAAAAGAGTCTGAAAACTTTGAGTTTTAACAATAATGATAAAATAAAGGGTAAAATAAATAGTACTAGAATTGACTTTTTAGTGTAAAAATATAATTTTTTTATTAAAATAAACAGTACCATACGTTTTTCGTTAAAATTCCTTTTAAAATATGAGTTCAAAATAGACAAAAATAAAAAATGTAGATCCGGGATAAAAAATATCTGTGAGTAGGGCCCCAAAAATGAGTTGGTATCTGGATCATAGAAAATTGCAAGGGGATAATTGGGCAAGTCAGAATCGGACCACTTATTAGATGAGGTACATTGAACATATTTACAGCTCTGCTTCCTAGTACTTACTCGATGAGAATTCATGGATGGCATCATTACAACTAAAAGCAACTTCATCTCATCAAAAAGAAAATAGGTGGTTGTAAAACCAATTGAGATAGGTTTTTTTAGCCAAAATGATTTTTGAAATTTACATAATACATAAATTTGATTCTTGAGATTTGAAATCAATAGAAGTGGTTCCTGAGATTGTTCACCATCAAACATTTTGGTCATTCCGTGCAAAATTATGTTAAATAAGGATCAAAATGACAAATATACCCTCAACTTAATAAACAATGGGCCAAAATGATTTGACAAAAATTAAGGGTATTTTGGTCATTATATTCTTATTTAATGGAAATTTTTCAAGGAATGGCCAAAATAATTGATGATAGACAAACCCAATAACCAATTCTATTGATTTCAAATTTCAAGGATTAAAGTGAGGAGTTATGCAAATCTCATGGACCATTTTAGCTAAAAAGCCATTCAGAGATCAAATCTATGCACGCATTTTGCGTGTGGCTTATTTGTGACGTTGATTATTATTATTAATGACACGTGTTAAGTTTATAATAATAAAAATAAGGAGGGCTAAGTTTATAACTCGTGTCAATCAATGATAGAGACAACAGAGAAGCCACATACACAAATTGAGTGCAGAAAATTTGAACTCACCACTTCAATATTCTTTTTTGACAAAGGATAAGATTATTATACTAAATTCATCTAATCTATAAGGAGGAGATTCAAACTTGAATGTAAATGGTGTAGCACACTGCAATAGTCAACTTGGTTAAACTCAGATCTACAAGATCATTTGTATTGGTTGAGAAAGCTAGCCACATTACCTTTGCACGCATTTCTTTTATTTTTTCTCGTTTTTTCACATTATGCAATGTAACTTTAAAATAGGAAGTTAGGAACCATCTACCATGTAAAACGTCTTTATAAAAATTGATCATATCTTGTAAAATATCTTTAGAAAAATGAATCTATCAAAAATCGTGTAATCATCTAATTGTTCTTAACCACATAAAGTTATAAACATTGTTTTGGCTAAATATTATGTTACTACATAGTTAATTAAATGAGTAGCTAACATAGAAAGAAAGAAGGGAAAGGCACCAAGAGCATGTAGCTACCATTGATAATTGCAAGCCAACAGATATGCATTCATCAAAGTTTGGCGGTGCCACTTGTCACAAAAATAATGAGTGTACAAATGAATAAGTGATTTTCTTTGCTACAACAAATGGACAGGTGAAGCCCCCCAAAATGAATGAGGATCCTCTCCGGATCCTCTATATGAGGATCTAAGGATAATCAAATCATGTTCGTTTATCGTACATCATGCGATCAGTTTTCGTTAAGTATTATTCATATTTAATTTTAAATAAAAATATTTTAAATGATTTATGACCGCACCATGTACGATGAACGAACACAATTTGAGGATCCGGAGAGGATCCTCATTACCCCAAAATAAGTTCATTTTTTGTCCTCTTATCCACTTTGTCAACAACAAATGGAGGCGTAATGTGAGCAAAGGCCAATTGAACAGAACAATGTGCCTGCCCACCTTACATTCTAAGTTCAAATCCTCCTCCCTCAGTTAGAACATCGCACCGATCAAAATAATGTATCGTTGGTATCAAATTCAATTTGCCACAGCATCCGTACAACTTGCTAATGTGATACAAAGTTCAAACATGTATCCATTCTGATAGACAAAACTGAATTAACCTGTTAATGTACAATGATAGTTTGTACCAAAGGGGGATCTCTATATGTTAAAACAACAGATCTCCGAAAAATAGGGGGAGCGGGAATAAATGTTTAGCTTAAGAGTGATGGATTTTACAACAGTTACACATCAAAGGCGTATTTGGGGTGGTGTCATAAAAGAAATAGCACCCAAGATCATATCAACTTTGAGCTGACCTTGTTATTCATGTCTTCGTGTAAGCACGTTGCCGAATCTAATCTTGAATAGTAACGACGCCTTCTGTTGCAGATTACGTGCATGAAGAAAAATAAGTACACGCGGTGCAGTACAAAATTTAGATTTCCTGCTTTGGATCGCCCTCCGGTATCACAGTGTCTTGCAGGTCAATTCTACCTGCAATTGCACGAAGCTTACAATTAAGCCAGCGGTTGTGTTCCAGGAACTTAAAAATTATAATTTTCGGATGCCGGAGTCTTGAATTATTGGATAACAGATGAAACTGTCTATACATAATGATGCTATAACTCTATGCCTATACACTGAGAGTTGAGATAAAAGATGTAACTGCAAGAAAACCGTACCTAACAAGGAAATCAGAGAAGGGGACTTTGAAGATCCATTTGATCTCATATCTGTACCTACAATGTATGGCCCAATTATAAGACTAGGCATAAATTTTGAAAGAGGTACAGAGAATAATGTGACATCTCCATAAAATATGATTCATTTTCTCATGTCAGAAGCAGACCTGAACTTTCAAGCGATTTAAGGACATCGGATTTCTTAAAGGTGTATCCAATGAAATTGGTATCTTTTGATGTTAACATCTGCAATGCCAAACAAGCTAAATCAGGTAAGGCTTCACTGATACAGCACTGATTAGCATAGGGAACTAAAACAATTCCCTTTCACAAAATGCTTTGTAGCGTGCTGGCAGGGGTAACGGGGGATGCTATTGGACATGTGAAGAAAATGCTTTGCTTAAAGGGAAAACAAAATTGAAAGAGCATAACAGAGATTTCAGCATCTTGGTTCCAAAAATAGAGTATGAATAGGGAATATGAAGTTTACCTTCCGCCAAGGTCCCACTGTTGGCATTGTAGATGGCGGTCCCTCTACCTATAATGGGGCCAAAAAGAGGGATGGAAGTTAACAATAGGGTGGCAACTACTATCAACAATATTTGGTTTTGATTCAACAAAAATATGCTTAAAGACATGGACCCAAAAGATAGTGCCAGGCCTATTAAGGAAATGCAAATGTGCAAAGAATATCAGGCATATCTATATCTTCATCCGTTCATCCTAAAAAAGTTTAAATTTTGTCCCACTAAAGGTTAAGATTCCAAATCAATATCAGTGAACTCACTTCAGGAAACTTCTCAAAATTCTGAGTGTCCAAGTCTCCAATGACTCTGGGTTTATATGCAGCTTCGCCTTCATACAGCCTGTCCCACTGAATAGATCTGAACCATGGATGGGCCTGAGAAACATTAGCTTTATAAGTGAACAAATATCAAACAAGAATATATTACAACATTAAAATTCATGAGTAAAATAATTTAAGAACAATCCATTGCCTTTCTATACTTATGTATAGTACCATAACTATTTCAGCACACCCCACCAGGTGATTACTTTCAGGTTTAATTTCTACATTATAGCAGCTATTTCAAAAACAGTAGTTCCTTCAAATTTCATGTGATACTCATACAGAACATCATTAGTTCTTTGAAACCTGGTAACTTACCTTAATTTCTTCTGCTCCATGAGTCCCAAGCCTTGACTCAACATCACATAACAAGTGACAGATCAGATCCTTTGCTTCTTCTGAGATTTTGGGTTCGTCTGGGAATTTCAGGTATGTCCTCCAATTGATTATCTACAGAAAACAGTAATGTTGTCTAACTCTGCAATTATATAGGATTGTTCCAAATATCTAAGAAATACAATCATGATATTACCTTGCGGCATGTGATCCTTGGGTCATCAGAGTAGAAGGGAGGATAGCCTACAAGCATCTCATACATGATTGCCCCTAGGGACCACCAATCACACTCTATTCCATATCCTTTTTTGAGCAACACCTCAGGTGCCATATAGTCAAGAGTTCCAACGGTTGAATAAGCCTAAACAAGATGGATGTTTTTAGTAACTCAGAACAATTACAAATTAATCACTCAATAACTAGGAAGTGAATAAGTTATAAATTTCAAATAATCTGGGTAAAAAAGTGCATCACTGGTTGATATGTCAGCATACTTAATTTAATATTTTGGATGAGTTATTCAAGAAGAATTGAAAAGAAAATGGGATTAAATTACCAAGGCACGGCGATTTCGTTTCCATTGTTGTAACTGTTCTTTTGGCATCAGCCAAGGAACCTTATCACAACCAGATTGTCCTTCAGTTTCAGATATGGATTCCTGGGAGGTCAAATCATCATTTTCCAGCAACAATGTCGAATGCTTATCATCCAGAGGTTTACACAAGCCAAAATCTGAAAGCTTCAAATGGCCATTTTTATCCAGTATCAGGTTATCTGGTTTTATGTCCCTATATGAAGAACAAGGTCATGTAGATGTAAGTTTACCTGTTTTTACTCCGAAACAAGTACACTTTTTAAAATAACATGGGGTTTCGTGTGTTTTTATGTGTTCCTTTTGTGTCTGTATATTAACGGTAAGAACCAGCTAGAGAACCAAAATGTGTCCACATCCAAATCACCTTCATATTGAACTAAAATACTATAGAACCAAAAACCCAGTGGAAAGGAGAAAAAATTTGTTGCTATTGACTAAAATTTGAAACGGTACACAGTTGTCACACCTATGAATGTAGTTGTGTTGATGGATTGAGTGAATAGCCAGAATACTCTCTGCCATGTAGAAACGAGCAACATCTTCAGAAAGAGTATCTTCTCTCATCAGTAATGTCATAATATCACCACCAGGTAAGTACTCCATGATAAGGTACAAGAAATCAGAATCTTGAAACGAATAATGAAGTTTTACAATGCACCGACTATCAACCTCCGCAAGCAAGTTCCTCTCAGAACGCACATGCTCAACCTAAATGCAAAAAGACAATATATCATGACGCACAATGATATGGTAATATCATACAATATCAAGACAAGTATCATGTTAGCGTAACATGATTGTATTAAAATAAATATAGATCAATTCTTAGGGTACTCAGTTTTCTTATTAAAACCAATACTTTATGGAACTGCTTAGTATGCAAGGAGCTAATGGGTACAGCAGCAAAGATAGTCTTCTCCTATACCGCAAGGAATAAGATTTTAGAGATACAGTTCTTTAAATTTTAAACAGTCACCTGTCCGCGACTAAGCATCTCTGATTTCTTCAGTTTCTTCATGGCATAAATCTCTCCTGTACCTTTAGCACGACATAACCTTACCTGCAATTGTTAAACACAAAAGAATGGTACTATATTTTAACGACACGCAGTATATTTCATTCTTTATAGGTAGGTCAAAACATATGACCAATAATATTTTCTTCAGCATATACCCAATGTTATCAAAGCTATGTAAGTACCCACAAAGCTAATACAATAAGGGAAAACCGAAATAGTTCTGTGAAATATTATAATTCGACTTTTTTACATACCTCACCAAATGCACCTTTGCCAATCACAGTTAATTGCTCAAAATCATCAATGCCAATCTTACGTCTTTGCATCCTCATATATTCTGTTTCTCGGCGTTCCAAATTCCTCATCATCTCCTCTTGTTCCTCACTCGGTATCTGATCTTCTTGTACTTTCCTTTGAAGCGCTCGACGTCTATAACAAAAAAATGTCTAATCTCAGTAACAACACATTTTCAATTCCTTCATGTTCAGCACTTACTCATACCGATCCATAAATGCGAACAATAAGTAAACTAAAGTTCACAGCTAAATCGAGTAATCGCATGAGAATTAGTTCTTCCAGTTGCTCGAGTTTTAAAAAATGCCAAACAGAAAACATAAATAGCAAAAGAAAAACCAAAACTATCATTAATATGGAAAAGATTGATTGAAACAAAAGGGAAAAATTAAGCATTTCAAATCGAGCTTAAACACACAAATGCAGCATTAGCAGAACTGCGTGCACGAAAATCGAAGACGAAGTTCGAGATTTCTAATTGGAATCACAATCAATACAAATTTTGAAACTTTTGACGAATTAAAAGCTAAAAAAATGCGCGAAGTACCTCTCTTTGCGATCCTGCAGACCTTGAAGGTAGTTCTTGTAGTGATTCTCAATAAACTGCTTTGCCGCCACCGCCTTCTGGCGCGTGACCGGCGACGAAACCGACACGTCGGGACCCGACTCGAAGCCGCCAACCCGATCCGGCTTCAAGTTAAGAGCACCGAGCCTCATCGTCCCATCGCCGCCGTCCATCTCCACCGACGAACCCTATCAAATCAAGCTCGAACCCGATCAAAACGGTTCAAAAGCTCAACATTTCAGCGGCGGCGAAGAGAAGCTTCCCGTGGCAGGAATTCGAGGAGAGATCTAGCGCACCAAGTGCTTGCGAAAATGACAGAGTAAGAGTTCAGAAGGGATACTAGGGAGTCTGCACTGGCATATGCGTGGGACGGTGAGAGTACAAAATTTATAAATAATATTCACTATTTATATATGCTTAGCTGGATAAATTAATTAATTACTTAATTAATATTCTGGTTTTCGATGGATTTAATGGGAATGGAGTGCAATCGACGCCACCGTCTTCCTCGCATGAACTGGAATCTTAGAGGCAGGATTTTTAATTTTTATTTTATTAATTTCGTTTCTGACTTTTTAGAGAGAGAAAAAGAGGAGAGAGAGAGGAGAGTAGCAGTTTGCCTGTCTTCCTGTTTGAATATCATTTTTATTTTATTTTTATTTATACGATCACGATTGAATCATATCATCATTTTATATTCTTATTATTTTTTGTTTTATTATCTTTATAAAAAAATTAATATAAAATATTGACGTGATTTAATCGTGATTGAACAAAATAAGAAAGGATAATAACAGGAGGGCAGAACAATCTGCCTCCGAGAGGAAAAGGCGAGTGTACAAACGACTAGGTTTGTCGGCGAAGATCTATACATTGCATATTTGACAAGCAAAGGCTGAATCTGAATATTGCTGGACCGTACGGGTTTTGATCGGGTTTTGGCTGGACTTGGAGAGGAAAACCATTTTGTACTTGGAATGATGTGACGGTGGTGGGCCAACTATGTAAAAATGACTTGCTTAGCACGGGTACAAAACTTTCATGCTCGTTTTACATTAGTAATACAATGACGAGTTTTTTTGTGTATGAGGTTGTATTGTTAGTATATGATGTTACGATAAACAGTGAACTTGTATTTTATAAGTTGTTCTCTAATTACATTCCACCGTATATTTTCTTTATAGTTAATGACAAAACAAATCAATAATAATGCGATAAACACGACTCAAATTTATGTTGAAAGAAGTTTAAACGCAAAGACAACATACTTATTAATTGGTCAACAAACTTAACCTACATTTGCCCACTATTGTACGTTAAAATTAACTAAAATTTGAGTGGCATAACATGGCATGTTGGGCAGCTTATGTAAGCGAATCGATTGGCAAAGATGGTGTTGGATGTTTGTCTCTAAAATGTCCTCATCTGCGCTGTGGCGCTACTGTTGGCGAAGATTTGGTCCTCTCAGTGTCGGTAACCAAAGGCAATGGTGATGCCGATAAGGCTAAGTATTCGCGGTACCTTCTGAGGTTTTATGTGGAAGATAGTAACGGGAAGAGAAAGTGGTGCCCTGCTCCCGGTTGCAACTGTGCTGTAGACTTTATTGGTGGCTACGGAACTTGTGATGTTTCTTGCCTCTGCTCTTACAGATTTTGTTCAAATTATAACGAGGAAGGTCTCAGTCCCATGAACTGCGATATTGTGGCAAAGTGGATGATGTTGAAGAACAAAGATGAGTTGGAAAATATAGAATGCATTGATAATATAGATTGGATTACTGAAAACACACAGCCGCGTCCAAAGTGCGAGCGAAATATCAAAAAAGACCGAGGATGTAACCAAGTTTCGCGAGCACGCTTTCGGAAGGAGGCTGGCAGACCTCAAAATTCAAGTGGCTGGGTTCATTAAGGTCGCCCGGTGCTCTTATTTAGCAGCTAGCAGTTGCAGGGTTTACAAACAATCCTGCCTGAAATAAACTGAAACCAAACAACGGAACTGACTTTGGCCGGATATGAAAATCATTGAAAGGAAAGAATGCAGAAACAGGTAAATTCACATTCACCGGCAACAAGTCTTGTGCCACTGACTGAGCTTACAATTTTGTTTAATCAGCTAAATTCAGGTATGTGTTTCTGGAACAATGATGCTTATAATTCCGATAGCTCTAGGCTAAGTGTCTCCACATTTTTGTGTCGGTTAACATTGCTTGTAGTCGCGTGTAGCTCAAGTCCCGCAGATGCTTACGCACTATACGTGCAACTATAACCAAATATGCCAATGAACAAGCAAGACCAGAAATTTGAAATAGGCCAGAGAAAGGACCAGGACCTATTCCTACTGGACCACCATTCAAGTTGTTTGAAGAAGTACAGTTGGGAGAGGACAGCCCGGCCAGCATTTGCTTTTCCAATTTTTCGATTTGTCCATTCTCAGTTGCCTCTAGCATTGCCTCCGAGATGTCAATAGCCAGAGGAGAACCCTTTGGAAAAACCTGCAGCAGACAACGAGAAAAACATGACTCACTCAGTTACCTCTAGCATTACTATCCTTTCAAAAGGATTTTATGTGCACAGCATGATCCGTAAGTATGGTACATGTAAGCTATGCAGAAACAAATTAAACACGACTACACAATGTTTAAAGAAGGGAGGGGAGAAACACACAAATCCAAAACCGCTAGGCTTGTAAACAGGCCCTGTTGTCACGTAGCCCTTGCAGTATTTTGCGAGGAAGACTTTAGCATGAGGCACAACAAAGAAAGCCGCAGCAATATCTTGCTTCTCAAAGGCATTTGGGTAGTCACCTATGGAGGCAATACTTTTGATGTTTTCGGGTCTAAAATCTAAAACATCGGTCAAATATCTAACAATAAATGAGTTGCCATTACAACCAACGGTTGCATTCAGTTTATGAAGTGTGCCAATATCAAGCATGGACGGGTGGACTTGAGAGAGAGTCATCATGGAGGTGAGGCTTGCAGTGAAAGTGGCCGTTACAGCTAGAATCACAACTAACCATGGAGCCAGAACCAACCGAGCCCAATTGTTATGAACTTGTTCTCCTGCGTATATACAAAAACATGTTAGGCTGTATGCGATGGAGGGACTGCGACAAAGCAGTATGGTTGTTTTCTTTTTTTATGAGAGTACTTACTGTTTGCAAAGAAGAGGATGGTGACAGAGAACCAAAGCATTGCCCCAATTCCCTTTATTTCGGGGTTGTCTCCATGTTCATTTTCAATTAACCAGACAACGAAGCATAAAGCAAGGTGTGTAACAAACAACATGAACCACATTTCCGTGGTGAAGGCACGCATGAACATCCATTTTTCCTTCAGCTTATCTGGCTTCACTGGAACAACCATCTCAAGCCCCGAGCTTATGTATGGCTGTGTGAATTCAACATAATGATACCGATCAGATATGACTTCGAAATCACCAACAGCTGCATCAAGGCTCTGCTTTAAATAGATTAAAATGGTCATCAGTGTCTGTAGAATAGAGCCCTAGGAAAACAGTGTCAATACGAAAAGCCAGAAGAAAAGAATCTCTACCTTATTGTAGACCAGTTTCACCATTTCATCATACGAGCCATTGAAGGGAACTAGCTCGTAAGGCAACTGATAAGGAAGATATTCGACAGCTGCTTTAAACACATCGATTGAAAATCCCGAGATGCGTGTTTCATTCGTGCCAGGATCATGTTTTACGTCCACAAACTGCTTGAATGCACCCCTGGCAGGAACCCCTATCTTTAAGGGTCGATCCACATTGACCGGAGTCCACCAATTTGGGGTTGTTTGTAAGCCACCAGGCCAATAGGTTGAACCCAAAACTTCAGAAAAACTATTATCCATCCCCTTTTCCATCAAGCTCTTTGAGAAACCGTATCTTGGCGACCAAAATGCCATCTCTCTGTAGCTTCTCCCAACCACGTTAATGATTTGAAACGTCGGTGGTTGTGCTAGCATACCGTTCTTGAATTCTAGCATGCCACTGAGACCTAGGGAAGCAGTAGACAAAATTTTTTGAGACAATTCTTCTGAGGTAGCATTTCCCTGTTGCAATGTTGTCACTGCTCGAGTAATGGCCCCAGTTGCATCATAAGCTCGGAGAGCGAAGATACTAGGACTAGAAGTTTCTTCTTCGTCAGGGTACTGTAGTCCGTATATCCTGCGAAATCTGGTTTTGAACTGTCTGAATGACGCAGTTGTCTCGAAAAAATTGGTTTTAATACCAATAACACCTTGCATATTATACTTGACAGAAGTGTTAACAGAATCGAGAAGGCTTGCAATCTCATCTGTGACAATCCACGCATAGCCTTTGTCCATCATGCCCATCTGCTTCACTTTTTCGAAGAAAACGACAGCTGACTGCAAAGAGAATTGCATGACTATGAAGACCCTATTGTTCTTGCTTCTCAACTTCTTTAGCTCTTCTTCAACGAAGGCATCCGGGTTAGAGAGAGAAGACAAGGATGGGAAATCTCGGTGGTGTTCAATCTCTGAGTTGACCAAGCTAAGTGAATGAGAGAGGAGAGCTATGATCCCTGAAGTGGAAGAAAATTCATTGTTGCGCTCGTAAACTGCAGTCACCTTTCGCCATTGGAAATGACCAACTAAGGCTGCAACGCATTGCATGTGAAAGACGATATCGTTAGCTATTTGGATGAAAATTGGCCTTTGAAGTGACGCTGATCGCGGGATCGTTGCAGTGGAAGTAAGGGATATGATGGGAACAATACTCTCGGTGATATTATCAATCTCAGAGATAAGAGCTGCTTCCTGCACGGTCAGTCCTCCGACAATGGCCACAACCTGTTTGCTGCTGAGGAGATTGATTGCTGCAAAACAAAAACAAACCCCTGATATCGGCATTCAAATATAAGGTTACAAATTGGTACTGCAAATATAAATTTACCTGCAGCTGTTGCTCGAGCTGAGTTCCCTTGAGAATCTTTCAGGTGCAAGTCCACTTTAGCGCAGGTCGACTTAAAAAGATCTTGGACAGCCATTTCCATGGCTATTTTTTGTTCTTTACCCACGCGAGAGCTGAGATCGATGACACAACCGATTCTTGCAGTTATCTGTTGAGTTACTTGACATTTTTCCTCTCTTCCATTAGCCTTGGCTGAACTCACAAACGATAGCAATACCAGAAAGAAGGAAAGACCACGAAGCATTCTTGCTTTTCGTTGTTAGTCCTTCCGAAATATACAGCATTCATGGTATTTAGAGCTTGATGACTTGACTTTAGGCACAGGAGGAATCATGAAAAATTCAAAGTTGGGGGATTTTTCTGAAATTTATATTTTACCGAATTTGTTTTACATAACATTTCAACGACGATTTTCTCCTAACTTGTTTTTATGGTTTTCTGGGTGCAATATTTTGTGAAAGTCAACACTCAACAGATCCATGGGACCAATAAGCCTCCCCAAGTAGGAGGCACATACCCTAAAGTCATAGCAAGATACAAAGAATATTACTGGAGAAATGAGAATAACATGTATTATACAATGCAAAGAATTCCCCACTTGTTTCAAGTCCTCAACTAAAAAAGTACACCATAGGTCTTGGACTTTGTAAGAATGTGAAGACAAAGTCTCACGTCACTGAGAGACCAAACCATGCAAGGGCTTACAAGAGGTTGGGCTACTCCTCATACTGCCAATTGGTTTATGGTGTAACCTCAACTTTCTTCAGACTTTGACCCGATTGAAGCTTTGATCCTTGAACTAAAAATCTATGAGAATAAGTGTCTTAACTACCTACATTTACATCATACAAATTGCATTTGACTCGGAAGAATATATGTAGATTCTCGGAAACAGATTTGAAGATAAACTTGATGTTGTATATGATAGCGACATGATGAATTGTTAAATGGGAGAGGAAATATTAATTCTCAGGTAAAAATTGGTTTGATATCGAAGTCAAAAAAATTGTATTGACAACTTACCAGGCAATAGTTATTAAAATTTAACTTAATTTACCTGTGGTGCTAGAGCTTAGAAGTTAAAAATCGTACTTTAATTACAGCAGTAGCTTAGTAGCTAAGGAATGCAATGGCCTCTCTCCCTCGCTCTCCTTCCCTTTACTACGAACCGCGCCCATCTTCGTGGGCTGAAGACTGGGCCGGATGGTGGCAGTAGAATCGAAAACCGGTGGTCTTGGACAGCTGAAATTGTTGATTTGCATAGACTGATATATACTGCCCAATATGGCACTTATACATAATCCAAAGAGCTCCGCATATGTTTGACTGTTTGAGGTCTTCCAATCTAAATTGAGCACACAAGCTTTGGTCTCCTTAATTTTCTTAGATTACACTTAATACAGATGGTTTGGCCTCCGAGAATATACAGAATCATGAATTTTATTGAGAGCTTGATGACTTGACTTAGGCACAGCGTGGAATCAGGAAAAATTCAAATTTGGAATTTTTCTGAAATTTTTATTTGACCGTATTTGTTTACATAACATCTTGGTTTTCTGGGTGTAGTATTTTATGGAAGTCAGCACTCAACCAATAGAGTAATAGCCTCCGCAAGTAGGTGGCACATACCCTAAAGTCATAGCAAGAAACAAGGAATAATACTGGAGAACTGGGAATAATATGTATTATATAATGCAAAGAATTCCCCACTTGTTTCAAGTCCTCAACTAAGAAACTACAGCGTAGGTCGTTGGACTTTATCTTGATTAGAGCTTTGGTCTTTGAACTAAAAATCCGTGAGTATAGGTGCCTTAACTACCCTACATTTTCATCACACGAATTTCATTTGAAGAATTCGGGCTGCGTTTGTACCAGACTGCTACTTGCTAACTTCCCAGAATAATACATATATACATATATAATGTATATGTATATATGCAGATTCTGAGAAATTCATACCACCAAGGTCCATGCTACGAAAGAAATTGACAACTGACCACGCAAAAGTCCTTAAAATTTAACTTAATCTAGCTATGGTGCTAGAGCTGAGAAGTTAAAAATCATGCTTTAATTACAGCAGTAGCTTAGTAGCTACGGCAGTGCAATGGCCTCTCCCCTCCCTCGCTCTCATTCCCTGTACTACGAACCGTGCTCGTCTTTGTGGGCTGAAGACTGGGCTGGTCGGTGGCAGCAGAATAGAAAACCGGTGGTATTGGACAGCTGAAATTGTTGCTTTGCATAGACTGATAGATACTGCTCAATATGCTACTTATATATATAATGCAAAGAGCTCCACACATGTTTGAGGTCTCCAAATTTCAACTCTAGGCCTTCCTGCTTTACTTTTTAATCTCGATACGAGTAATATCTTTAATCTAAACAAATATAAAGTGAGCATAGGATGATTTTAAAATGACGGAAATTGAATTGACGGGATTTTATATTCTAAAATTTGTGAATTTTCTTGTTTGGTTAACCTAAACAAATAATGTAATTAAATACAGAATTTGTTATATTTAAGCTCTCAATCATAGAAATTGGGAAATGATACCTATTTACATGGAATTTAAACTTGGGAATTAGAGGTCCCAAATTCCAAGTTTTTTTTCACGTCGAAATTCTAAATTTCTATGTTTATGAATCCAAACAAGGGAATTGGTGCATGTTAATTTACAAATTTTAACTTTTATTCAAATTCAAAATTTATTTCCCTTATCCAAACATAGTGTAAGAGAAATAGAAATACAAGATGAGTAGATATATGCATGGTAACGTATTAACAATTGCATATCATCTAGGTTGTATTCTGACCTATTGGTTTAGGTGGACAATACATCAACGGTCAGAACTCAACAGGCGCCAGCACAAGCACCTTACCGAAGCAAAATCCAAGCTCAAAAAGTTATTTTTATATTGGGCTTGGGCTTTTGGCCCAAAAACCAGAAGCGGAGGTGGAGAGTGGAGAACCTCGCAGGCATTTCCTTGTTTATCTGCTAAGCTCTACAGACGCTGACTGTAACTGATGATGGGTCTGCAAGCCTTCAACTTTGAAGAACAACTATGAGAAAAAGTGATTACCAGAAAAGCACCTTTTAGTCACAGCAACTAGCAACTAGTACCTCAGGGCGCGCAGCCATGGCATCTCTCTCCAGATCACCGCCGCTCCTCCACCACCACATAAACTCCCTCATCCTCCACCCCTGCCCCCTAACTCTATCCTTCCCTTTCCTCAAAGCGAAGTCGCCCCACCCCCGCCTCTGCGCCCTGAAGACCGGAGCCGACGGGGGAAGCAGAATTGGGAGGCCCGAGACGCCGGGGCCCGACCCGGAACTGCTCCGGAAGCCGGTGGTGTCGTCTGGGAAGGACATGGATGGGAATTCGGAGGAAGATGAGGGAGAAGACGGGAAGTGGGTCGATTGGGAGGATAAGATTTTGGAGGACACGGTTCCGCTGGTAGGGTTTGTGAGGATGATTCTTCATTCGGGGAAGTATGAGAGTGGAGATAGATTGAGTCCTGAACATCAGAAGACTGTTCTCCAAAGGCTGCTTCCGTTTCATCCTGATGCTAAGAAGAAGATCGGTTCTGGGATCGATTATATCACGGTAAATTCTGTTTCTTTGTTCAATTGTCGCGGATTAAGCTGCCTTTGGATTAAGCTGCTTTTGAATTAAGCTGGTTTGCAATTCTGGGGTTTAGTGTTTTGGTGCCAAATTTGGTTATTGGATGTTGGTCTTGAATCTTGATTGCCCATTTTAGTGTTTTGGAGCTTTTGAATTAAGCTGCTTTACAATTCTGTGGATCGATTACCCGATTGCCCTTTTTTTTGTACGATCTCTATAACTTTCGTTTACTATAGAAGTGCTTTTTTGAGTGAGAGGATTTTGGCAACTGAGCATCTAGAGAAACATGATAGTATCTGTTTGGATATGCCTGTTGCTGGATAGCTTCTGCTAGCTGATTGTCATTTCTGTTTTGGCATTGATCAGACTTGATTGCTTTCGGGTTTTGACTACTTTTTAAATTTAATTTTGATTCAAGTCTGACTCATAAAGCATCATCAATCTTTTATCCTCCAAACTGAGCTAGGAGAACTTGGGGATGGCAGCCACAAGTGTGATCTTCTTCCTTCGTCATATTTTAGTATCGCTTCCCCTCCAAACACCCGCACTCCAATGTGGGAGTGTTTTACACTCCTTTGTGGAAGGGGGTTGGAGCTCAATCTTTCTAGTTCCCCTTAGATATCTAGTTATCTGTATTGTTTCTGATATGGCTTTTACCGGTGAACGATAAGTAACAATTCTTACTAGTTAATATACGGTGTTTAGAAGGAATATAATGAACTGACCAAAGAAATGCTAATCCACCCCTAGTATCCCGAAAGGATCGCAGTGCATGTAGAAGCGTACATGCTTCCAAAATGATGGAACTTGGCTTCAGATAGTTGTTTTTGCAATTTAAAACCAAATACTAAAAACTTTTTCTGCATCCAACACTTTATCAAAGATGAGTGATTTGGGGTTTTTTCTCAAGCATGCTATATTTGTATTAAAAGTAAATATGCTTGTTAAATGATGCGTTTTTCTCGTTTTGGGTTGGCAGGTTGGTTATCACCCGGATTTTGAAAGCTCAAGATGTTTGTTCATTGTTCAAAAGGACGGAACACTAGTCGACTTTTCATATTGGAAATGCATAAAGGGGCTGATAAGGAAGAATTATCCTTTATACGCAGACAGCTTCATTCTCAGACATTTCCGAAAGCGCAGACGCGGTTTATGAAGCTAGATTTGTCGAATCGTCTGACTTTGTATAACTGTATGTCAAAGAAAATTTTTTGTTCGTTCCGCATTGCTTGTTATATGTCAATTTTAAATTGTTACATAGTAAGATGTTGGAAAGTAGTAGTAATAGATATGGTAGATTCTTTCAAGGTACATGATGCGACTTCAGTAAAAATGCGGGAGTAAATGCTGTGGTGAATAAAATTGTATTGGCTAGCTATTATTCTTTCGGCATTTTAGCCAAAATAGTCTCTGATATTGATAACTCCTCACTATAATCCGGAAATTTGAAATTGATAAAAGTGGTTCCTGAGTTTTTTTACTGTCAATCGTTTTGGTCCTTATGTGAATCTTTGTTAAGTAAGGACAAAAATACTCTTCAATTCGATAAATGGTTGAGCTAAAATGAGTTTGACAAATTTTGAGAGTATTTTTGTTATTTTATTCTTATGTAACATATTTTTCATGAAAGTATCAAAATGATTGACGGTGTACAAACTCAAGTTCTATTGATTTTGGGTGTGATATCCACACACATTTTTTTACTTTTCATACACCTCTTGTTAATTTCTGTTCGTTGATCTTCTTCAACTCATCTGATATGACGGTTGAAAACCAAAAAGATGTGGGAAAAGTAAAAAGGAGTGTGTGGATATCACACCCCTTGATTTTAACCAAAATGAAGAGTTATGTCAATCTTAGAACCATGAATCCTTCAAGTACAGAACATTCTCGCGCCTGTGGGGCGAGTGGCTTCCAGCCATTGATGCTTGATGCAGAGGGGGCAAACACTTGTACCAACGGTTGGTTGGGAGTCCATTCACTCCACATACAATATTGGGTTCCATCCCTTGATGCAGTGGGTCTTTTGGGATTCCAAACGTGTTCAACTGGTAAAATTTCCTCCACTTGTATTTGACATATGGATTACTACTTTAATATCCGACACTTGAGAGACATAAAAGACATTAAAAGTTTGAAGGAAACCAAGCAAATGAAGAAACGAATCACCAAATAGGTTTTTGCAAGAATCACGTCTTGGCTATTTCCAAGTCAAGAATCACATGCCCCTTTACTTGCCCAATTCCAAGTCTTTTTATATACTAATATATAAAAATCTCATTTTGTATAAAATACTGAGATATTTTCAGAACATATATCCGAGCAAGAACCTGCAGGCCGAGGAGAATTAATTACATCAAAACCGATCATCTTTGTAAGTTTCTTCTACAAAAACTTATATAATTATGTCTCAAACATGTTCTTGTCTCTTATTCTGTCAATTACCAGTTAAATAGTAGGTCTGTATATAATATGTGTGTGTGTGTGTGTGTGTGTGTGTGTGTATCGGTGAATCAGAAATATGTTAAGCTATAGCACTCAAGAACTTGAAAAGTCACTGTAAATTTGAGGGAAGAAGTCTTACATGAAGCATATTAGAGTTGCAGGCAGTAGTAGCAGTTATATTTCTGTTTTCTCCTTGTTTAAAGCAGATTTTCAATTAATCGACGCGAACGCGCATGAAATGGAAGCAAATAATGTGAGAAATAAAAATTTAGCGTCCTCGATTCAAGGAAAACTTCAGCAGCAGTCCCCGTTACGCAGTCATCATTCCATATTTAGAGTCCCTAATGTGCTACGTAATGATAACGAAAGAGTTTATGTTCCACGTTTGATCTCAATTGGACCATTGCACCGTGGATCGAAATTGCAAACCATGGAAGGAATTAAATTGTGGTATTTGCATTGCCTGCTTCAGCGAGATCAGACTCGAAAAACTGGTTTAGAGCACTTTGTCGAAGCTATTAGAGATATAGAACAAGATTGTCGGGATAGCTATGAAGAACAAATTGATATGAGCAGTGATGATTTTGTAGAAATGCTGGTGGTTGATGGATGCTTCATTATCGAACTCTTCAGGAAGTCTTCAGGAGAGGTGCCAACAAAGGAGGAAGATCCTGTGTTCCACAAGTCATGGATACACACGCCACTTATAAATGACTTGCTTCTTCTTGAAAACCAGCTTCCTTGGATAGTTCTTGACCGTTTATTTGATCTCACGCTGGAAACCAGTGCAGGTAACAATAACCATATTTCACTTCCTGAGATTACTCTACGATATTTTGAGGTGTATAGCTTGGGGATGCTTTCACGGACCTATCGAGCATCGGGAAGCAAACATTTACTCGACTTCATAAGAAACTCTTTGATCGGATGGTATCAATCAGATGATGCGCATATGCCCTTAAGTCTGTTCAAGATTCCCTCTGCGACGGAGCTTGCAGGATCAGGAATCATTCTTACTACGGGTCGAAAATATGATGGCATGCTCAACATAACCTTCGAAGACGGAGTGTTGCGAATTCCACCAATAAGGGTTTGTAAGAACGGAGAATCGCTGTTTAGAAATCTCGTCGCTTATGAACAGTGTGAAACAACAACCGGTGTGAGTAAATATGCCTCTTATGCTGTGTTGTTGGATCACCTCATTAAGTCCAAGGAAGATGTAGAGCTTCTTGTCAAGAGGGGAGTTATAGAAAATTTTGGCGATGACATGGCCTGGCTCTTGAATAATCTTTCCAATGGTATCATCGTTTACAATTTTACTTACCGAAGAATCTACGAGAATCTGAATACATTTTGTGGGACACGCTGGGACAGGTGGCATGCTTACGTGCGTGCTGCGTTTCGAATTTATTTCAGAAATCCCTTTGAATTGATGAATTTTACTAATGCTGTCTTCATTGTTACACTTTTGACATTGATACAAACAACGTATTCCGTTGCGTCATACTACAAGCCGCAGCAGTAGACCGGCTTCCAGTTTGCAATTGCTTTTTCCCCATTAATGTCATGCTCATGCAGTGTTGATTACAAGTCTCTGTTTGTATTTATTTCAATGTTATCTCCTGTTAAGTTCGCTTGGTTTGTATGTGTTTTCATGTATTCCAATCAAATGAGGATTCACACTGAAGACGCACTCCCATTCAGTTATGAAATAATTCGAAATTATCTTTCTTAAGCATAAGTTAGATTCGTTCTCAGACATTTTCGAAAGCGCGGACGCAGTTTATGAAGCTAGATTTGTCGAATCATCCAACTTTGTATAACTTGTATGTCAAGGAAATATTGCTTGTTATATGTCAATTTTAAATTATTAAGAGCAAGATGTTGGAAAGTATTAGTAGATATGGTAAATTCTTGCTATTATTCACTCCAGTAATTTGAATTTACAAAATTATTCATAAAATCATCCAGTCCCAACTCTTTTTAGTCTCTTGTTTCTGTGCGAATTCCTACTGTGTGCGTAGGCTATGAAATAATCTTGGTTAAAATGGACCAAGAAATCTTAAAAAGCTTGTGGTTATGATTATGTTCTTCCGGTTAGTAACTTAAAGAGGAGTTGCCTAGGACAGTCGTTTATGCACGTGAGTGGCTTCTAGTCATTGATGTTGTGATGCAACAGAACTAACACTTGCATCAATGATGGAGAGTCACTCATGCACATGCCCGACCATCCTAACACATTTCGTAACTTCAAACTATGTTTCATAGTTTCCAGAGTGATTTGGAGTTGCAATGGGAGTGACTCACATGATGAACTAGGTTGAATCGAGCTGAAAAAATGGAGTCAGTTTTGGCCCTGGTTTTGTCACACAAATCATAGTTCCGTTGCACTTAGGTCCATTTTCCCCTCTCTTCACTCTCTTCCCACTTTGCTTTCACCACGTCCTTCCCAGTTCCCACGTCTCTCTCTCTCTCTCTCCCCATTCTCTTCCCCTCCTCTCTTTTCTGAATCGAATAGAACCGATCAGACCAAACAAATACTGAATTAAGTCAATTATATTATTCACTTTGATTCTCGATTTTAAAGGTGAAGTGAACCGGATTGTGCCCACCCGTACTCTGAAATGCTGTCGCTTTTTACACATAAGACAATAAATGGGAGGCAGTATTAAAATTAATCTTGCTCGAAATTGGAAACATTGAGATTATTATTATTATTATTTTTTCTTTTACAAGAAAAAGGAAAAGAAATGTGAATGAAAAGCATATATAACGGCATTTTAACGAGATTTTTTAGCAGAAGAAAACAGATTGGTCGTATCGCCGTCAATAACCAACAGCTGTCCCGTATCATTATCGTTATCGACTGCTCCAAATTCAGCGACAATGATATCAAGCATTATGCGATTAGTTAGAGAGCACCCAAAAGGCATTCAATCTTTAACCTACACTTTCAGTTTCGTGTCACTGCCGGGGTGATCCCCAACTGATATCTGCCAAGTGCCAAGCAAACGAGACGTCGCGTGGACGAGTGCTATAACAACAGCTATCACATCACCTCTCGGTTGTAGCTAAATGTGTCAACTTTGGCTATTTCCGATTGGATTGCGTCTCTCTTGTTACGACATGAGAAAATACAAAAACAATTACAAGATTGATTTTCTCCGAGCAAATATGAATGTTTACAATCTACTTATTTGAACTTTATTGTTCTATCTTCAAGCAGTCGATTCATATCTTGCAATGTTACACACAACAATATATTTTCTTATTCATTATGTTTAATCATCCAACAATACGTTTTTTTATTTGATAACCTTAGATAACTAAACGATAATCCAATCAAAGCCTTATGGTCTAGGCAAATTGATATCTTTGGCTCAAAATTGAATCCGGTAACGTTTTTTGTATTAATTAACGTCAGAGTTTAAGTTATTGTTGACATGTATTAAGTTGTATAAATGGCAAAGTTCTAGTGGAACACCACTCAACGCCAACGGTGCTATTGCACTACCGTATAATTTTTCCTCTTAACATCCAAACATATTAGATATACTTAGAGGGTAAACCAGAAACCTCTTCATTGCGATCATTGATTCATTATACAATCGTAAGATAAGCATTACGTAGCATTCCCAAATGCAAATGTCATCTTCTCTCTATTCCTTTCGAGTTGTGGCGCATCAATCAAATTCTGAATCTTATCACACCAAAAAAACCAACTGCTGTTTTGTGTTCCCACAACTAAATCCGATGCCATTTTCGGCCAAGAAATAATTGAATGGGATGAGGTTTTCAACTTTGAAGAACTGTTGTGCTCTTACCAGTCACTATAGTAATAACCACAAGTGCTGCGCAGGCATCCGATTGAACAACACGTATGCATTGTGCAGTTATGCACTCACATCTGCGAAAGCATTACCAATACTTCTCTAGAATGTTTCGTTTTCTGGTGTTTTTTATCCTCCAGAATTGGTGGTTTTTTGTAGGGAACGTGGCACCATACCATGAACAGAGATAACTAGCTATTAAAAACCATACCTTTTTTAAGCAAAGACTCCAACCACTCCTAAAAAGTAGCTAAATTTAAAGTACAACTACTACTACCAATTAGAGGATGTTAATTCAAATAAGTAGCACCTGGAGAATTCCTTTTGAGTCTTTTGACTGCGATAGACGCATATATGACAGATGAATGACAACTAGTCTGCTATGTAATTCATAGTCATACCGTTTGAAAACGCGTTTATAATTATTTGATAGATGAGTTTAATTTTCTATATTAACAGAAAAAGCTTAGAGTTTAATTTTCTATATTAACAGAAAAAGCTTATAAGTAAAATGAAGTAATGAATCAGTATGTCATCTGTAACACTTGTTTCGTTAACCTAAATGGTAGGCAGGGCTGTTACCATTGTTCTAGTTTTGTTTTTATAATAACATATATATTATCATTAGGAGTGATTTCTACATTATCATCATAAGTAATTTCTGCGTCGTGCCAGAAATCATTTATCTTAATCATAACTTGTTGAGTTGTGTTTCGAGAATTCACATGCACTAAGTTCATCATGTTTTAAAACTAATCTTTCGCAAAGGATAAAGACTAACCAAAAAGAGGAAAACTAGAAAACAAAGCATTGCAACAAAGTGTTCTGTTAAGGCAATATTTTAGGAGGAGGGGCACATGCTTGACAACTTTTGTCCATTGTCTTTGCTTCCAATCTTAGACTGCCAGCAGCAACATATGATGTTTATCGATTGAATTTTTGTGTGAATTTGCATAGTGCCAGCACCATGTGCCTCTCTTTTCCATCGTCAATTCATCTGCCTCCCTTTCTTGCCTCCCTTTCTTACCCTAAAAGAATCAAAGTGCATGCCTTGGATGTGGAGATAGCAAAGTACTAATTGTCCTTTACATAAATGGCCTTAGTCCTTAAGCAAAAACTTCACTTCCAACGTCCACGTCTTCACTTGAAAAGTCCACTATATATGACAAATACACTGAAGTATTTCCATTTTTATGGCTCTTTGGACATTTAGTTGAAAAGACCATTCCTCTTGATGGATTTCCTTTAGGCAGCTGTTCAGAACTGGATAAGATCGGAATTGAGTCGAAATCAATCTTATAAAGTCTCGCCTCTCTACATATGACTTGTAAGACATATTATGTCAAACTATTGTTCAATTTAATAAACCGGTTGCATACATTCAAAAGCTCACCGGGCACTCGAAATAGTAGTTTATTTTGAACCTTGGTAACCAACACTTTCTTAGGTAAAAAAAACTGATGTATGATAACATAAAATTAGAATCGAGTAAAAACAATTCTTATAGAGTCTCATCCCTTCTGGACTAGAAATGTAAGACAAAATTTGTTAAACTTATTCGATGTAGCCAGCTTAATTTCTGCATTTAGAAATTCATCACAACGGCCAGAACATTAAGTTTACCAACCAAAACTATCTGATATTAAAAAAAAAAAGTGAGTGAGGTGGTATGATTACACAATCAAGGTCTAAAGAACCCACACCGTCCATTGATTATTTTATAGGGTGAGACAATGGGACTAGATTGTCAAAATCAAGAGCTTCCATGACCTTCTAACTTTCTTCATTTGCTCAAATTATAATGGATAAAGATTCGGCTAGCCAATTACAGCCATACAACTTTCTATAATTGCGTGTGCTACAATGTAACGATCAATTAAACTATATGAAAATTTATTTTTCTAATCACATTACAAAATATAATTACATGACATACTTTAGCTGACTTTCAGTATCAATCATCATATTAACATGACTCACTAATTACGAGACTCTTGTACTTAATTCACGATTCTGTAAAATTTAAGTTTTGATTAAAGTATGGTTAATGACGTAAAATAAAATCTAAGAATCTTCATTGATACAAATAAAACTGGATGCTCCGAGATCAAAATACTTGTCGTAGTATACTAATACAAACTAAATTACTTGAGAATGTTGACTTGGCGTACAAATAATAGCACAATACTCTAGCCAACAACTAAACTACATCTAGATCTACTTTTCTTACTTCAAAAATTCTTAATTTTCTTTCGATTAACTTCTTTTTTTGGCCTTTTAACAAATTAAAAAAATTATTAACATTGGAAGAATTAACAAAAATGTTAATGTGCGAAAAAAAAGAGTTTATAAAATTTATTCCCCTCATTTTTGTTTTAGTGCTCATTTGAAAGTGATTTTAAAATGACCGAAAACGCTTTTCGTAAAAATATTTTTGAAACCGATACTTGGTAAAATCCAAGTAGATTCCGAAAAAGTTCTTTAAGTACTTAATGCAGGAATTACATATCTTGTGTTTCTTAAAAAAAAAAAAAAACATTTAAAGTATTTTTGGAACTTAAAATTAATTTCATCAAAAATATTTTCATATATTTTAAAGATATTTTCAGACGAGTCCTTAGTTCCTCATTTTTCGTTCAATACTTGGTTATTTACTTTCATTTATTCTGATTTGATCTACTTATTTCTGTTTTACCAAAAAATAATAGTGCACAACTAGCTTGACTGACGGCGTTTCCCCCACAGTACAAGGCCCGCCGCGAGCCGTTCGCATCCCGCTCCTCCATTTGGTCGAAGCCCATGGTCCATTAACGAAAATTACGAACAATAACAAGGGTATTATCGTACAACCAGTTAAACTTAAATTGCAGGTTTTATCTGATAGAAAATATCTGAAATCTTGGACCGGCCTGCTTGGATTGGGTCGCTGGTGATGGATGATATCGCAGCGGCTGCGAAGACCCGTTTGATTTGTCTTACTAGTTGAGTGTTTGTTGGTTCTTTTTTGGGGTGTTTCAGTTAGGGTGTAATTTGGATTGAGTTATTTTGAAAGGAAAACTAATGAAAATTATTTGAAAACTTTGAGTTTTAATGATAAGAATAAAATAAATGGTAAAGTGAATAGTATCAGGATTGACTTTTTAGTGTAAAAATGTGGTTTTTCGTTAAAGTGAACAATACCGGGTGTTTTTTATTAAAGTTCTTTATTTTGAATAGGTCTATGTCTATTTTGATTTCAAATTCAATCGGACGAATTAGAATAAAGTAAAAACTTGCTCAAATTCAACCTAACTTTAATCCGTTTATTTATTGGATTGAGTTGGGTTGGTGATTTGGCCACTCATGTTAACCAAAACTCAATCCAATTTTAGCCCGAATTGCTCATGCATGTTATTTGTCCACTTCATTTCGTATAAGCTATAAGTACAAGTTTGGATGCGCTATACTTAAATTTATTGTCTGAATTTCATTTGAACAATAAATGATAGTGATATTTTACGTTTCTTTTGTATTGTCCTGTAATATAATTTCAATTTGCATGGCTGAAACTTTAGAAATACGTCCCACACTATTTGATTTTTCTACAAATGGTGATGTGTAAAATTGATTTCTAAATGGTTTTCACATAATATGGTTCAAAATTTGAGATTTACCGTATAAAATAATACGTAACAAGATTGAACTTATTAAAGTTGGACAAACTCAGACCCAACCCGAGTAAATCCGAACCCAATTCAAATCTAAATCTGAAAAAACTCGCATAAATCTGAACTCAACACAAACTCAAATTAAAAATGTCTAATTCAGATTGGATTGACCATAACCCGCTCAACCCACTCGAATTGCACCCCTAATTTTACCCCCAGTTCATAAAAAGAAATATCTAGAATTTTGTCCTCAAGGCCGACCGTTGTCGGCTCACAGCCTTCACATGCACCAAACAAAAAAAAATAAAAAAACATTTTTTATGGACGAAATTGCCCCGGACCTAACGTTAGTGGACCAAACGCTTTTTCTGTGAGGGTATTACAATCCACCAGTTCTTATTCTTATCCCGTCGCCACCACCATTAAAATTCAAACCACCAAATCCGACCCTCCATTCAAGAAAACGTGGACGGCCCAGATATCCCCACATCGCGCAATCTCATTGGCCAGCAGTCGCATCAAATCCTCCCCACTCTCATCCGATTGGTCCACGCAGCCCATTACTTTAATAATTTAAGAAATTAAATAATGATAATCCCGCACCTTCCGCAGTGCCGGGTGTCTTAAAAGGCAAAGGCGAAAGGGCAAAGGGGCAGCAGACACTTGGCGCTTCCACCAGATCCCTAACAAGCAGGAGGAGCCGCAGCCACCAGGAGCCACCAACATTTTCCCAAAAATTCCCAAAGTAGTAACAAAGGTAAATTATTAAAAAAAAAAAATAAAAAAAACAAAAAAACCCCCGATTCTCCCTCTCTCTCTCTCTCCCCCTCCTTTTTGTTGTTCATCTTAATTTATAATTTATAATTATTTTTAGTGTTTTTGGACAGTATGGTTCTTCAAAGTTTCAGTCCTTACTTCTTAGTTCTTGCTGATATGTGTTTAAGTGTTGTGCTTTTTGATCTGGGTATTTTTTATTTTTCACAAAACTTTGATTTTGTGACTTTTTTTTAGGTGGGGTTTTCAGGATTTTTGTAATTTAATTAAAAAAATCTGAGCTTTGGAGTGTGAATTGATGAGGGGTAGCTGAGATTTTGGTCTGTGTTTTTCAAACTCTGGTTTTTTATGGGTGAAAGTTGACAATGTTGAGTTCCGTGAGCTGAAGGGAAGCTCTGAGTCATAGGGAAAGACAAGTAAAAATCTGAATTTTTTTTTTTTTTGGCTCTCTGTTTGTTGGATCAGGTTTCACAGAAAAATGGGGACCAATATGAACTTCAAGGGATTTGGGAACGAGCCGCCGTTAGCGAGGCAGTCGTCGATCTATTCGCTGACGTTTGAGGAGTTGCAGAACACCATTGGAGGCCCAGGGAAGGATTTTGGGTCTATGAACATGGATGAGCTTCTGAAGAGCATATGGACTGCTGAAGAGACTCAGATTATGGCGCCGGCTGGCGGAGCCGCTGGTGGCCAAGAGGGGCTTGGCCACGGCGGTGGTGGGTCACTGCAGAGGCAGGGCTCTCTGACCCTGCCCCGGACCCTAAGCCAGAAAACTGTGGATGAAGTGTGGAAGAACCTTTCAAAAGAAGGAACGGGTGCCGGCGGGTTTAATATGCCTCAGAGGCAGCAGACTTTGGGGGAGATGACTTTGGAGGAGTTTTTGGTAAGAGCTGGGGTTGTGAGAGAAGATGCACAAATGGCTCCAAAGCCTAATGGTGCTAGTTTTTATGGTGATTTGTCTCGTTTTGGTAATTCTGGTAGTTTGGGATTCGAGTTTCAGCAACTGAATCGCGGGATTGGCGTGATGGGGAATCGAGTTCCCGAGAACAATAATAATCTGGTTCCGAATCAGGGTTCAAATTTGCCATTGAATGCTAATGGGGTTAGATCAAATCAGCATCAGCAACAGCAACAGATGCCACAGCAGCAGCAGCAGCACCAAATATTTCCCAAGCAGCAGCCTGTGACTTTCAACACTTCTCAGTTGCCTATTGGGCCAAATACTCAGTTGGGTAGTCCTGGAATGAGGGGTGGGATGATGGGAATCGGTGATCAGGGTATGAATGGCACTTTGGCTCCGAGTTCAGGGATGGGAATGGTTGGATTAGGAGCTGCAGGAGCTATTCGTGTGGCGACGCCTTCACCTGCGAACCAGTTGTCATCTGATGGGGTTGGGAAGAGTAATGGTACTGATACGTCATCCGTGTCACCCGTGCCTTATGTGTTTAATGGCGGTTTTAGGGGTAGGAAAGGCGGCGGGCCTGTGGAGAAGGTTGTTGAGAGAAGGCAGAGGAGAATGATTAAGAACAGAGAATCAGCTGCCAGGTCCAGAGCTCGCAAGCAGGTGAATATCTCTTCCATTCTTTGCTGCTTTGTCATGCATACATATATTGTAGTTTCAGTTTATGGTAAATTTGAGATATTAATTACGAGAATACAGAAGTTCAAGCTCTGAAATGTAAAATGTAAATAAACAAACATTGAATGGAAGTATGAAATTTTATTAGCTCACTAATTGTGTTTGAAAATGGTATGTTTGTAAGAGTTAGTATTTGAACTAAAGAGATTGTGGATGCCATCTTAAAAGTTTAAGCTTATAGATCTGCGTTAAGCCGCTATCTTTGATACGATTTGGAGATCCTGAACTTAAATCGAAAGTCATGGCTGATTCTTAACACTAACAGTTATACATTTCTTGTCTCTTTGGCTAAGATCAGGTTTTAGTTTAACATCTTAATAGGTTTAATGCTTGTGGATGCAGATGCAATTAAGTTTTGTGTGTTTAGTATTTAAAAGTAGTTCTGGAGAGTGACATCAAAATTAAACTAGTTTCATCTTGTTGTCGAATTATATCAATTTTGCTAGACATTTACCTTTCTGCATTTATCATCTAATGATTTTTTGTATCCCGAAACTTCATGAAAGATTCATGCGGGAGAATGGTAAATGTTGATAGCGATTCGACGTGTCAAAGAGATGAAAGATTTTGAGAAGTTACAGTCATGACAAGTTTTAAGGATCCAGTTTATTACAAGGTAATGGAAACGCTTGTTTTAAGGAAAAGTAACGTTAAGTAGTCGTGTGTATGGCGTCGAATCGTTAAAACATTGAATTAGTAAGGATTAGCCGAGGTTAGTTCTGCTTTAAGATTGAACCGCATGGGAAGAAAAGAAGAAGACTATATAATTGCATTTTATGGCATCTCATCATTTTTCCGTGTTTCTAATATATTGCCTTTGTGCTTCTGCCAGGCTTACACAATGGAATTGGAAGCAGAAGTTGCAAAACTGAAGGAGGAGAACCAAGAGCTGCAGAACAAACAGGCTCAAATGGCGGAAGTGCAGAAGAATCAGGTACTTCGATTGTTCTTACTTCTTTTTCGAATCAGTACATGAACAATTTTATTTTATTTTTTGTCAAAATTAAGACTATATCAGTTGCTGTACCGTTCCTAATCTGAATAAATTTAAGACATTTCTGCAATCTGGTGTAACCAGTTGCCCTAATATTATTACTTGGGGTTGAAGAATGTTTATATACAGGCCATCACACCGAAAAAGGCTCAAAACTGCATTAAAATTGCTGCTTAACAATCTTTTACGACTCTGGATACATCGACGTTTTATAGTTTGATGAATCGTTTGGAATTTGATCACTTTGCAGGACATGGAGATTTTAAACCTTCAACGCGGGAAGAAGCGATGCTTGAGAAGAACGATGACGGGTCCGTGGTGAAGGGCCGGGAGGGAAGAGGAATGTGATTAGAAGGGGTGCTGTAAATATTCCAAGGGGACATTCGTCTTGTGGTGTAGATTTTTTGAGAGTTTAGCGTGTGCTGTAGATTTGAGCATCATAACATTTGTGGGATCCTTGGTTTCTGTTACCTTTTTCCTATGTTAATGTTTCAAATATTTATGTACACGAAAGAAGTGAGACAATTAAAACAATAAGGAAACCGTTAATGAACGAATCCTCAATCGATAAATCTCATTCGTACAGTGATCATGAGCGTTTTACAAGTTTAAACAAATATGCTGTGGCCCTTGAGATCAACACAAATCCTACTCCCAACTACCGCGTGTTTCTTCTACTGCAAACCGAACGTAAGACTCATCAAACGAGAAGTTACCAGCTGACCTCGATACCACCAGAATGTTGCTCGCTCTATTTCCGTTAAGATACTGTGCCAATGGTCACAAAGGTCATTGATGCTCCCTTCACAAACTCCAGACTCAAAATGGTTTAAGTGACGCATTCAGATTCCAAAACTACAGGTCTAGTAAGGATAGCCTGAAGTGCATTCCATGTCCTTCCAGGATATCATCTTCCTGCGATCCCTTCCTCTAAATGATCTGGCAACAATCTGACCGCTGATGGGCTTGCACAAACCAACATCAACAACAGAAGTGCTCCGTCTCTTTTCAGAAGATGGGGATGCTTCGTCCATGTAATAGTCGAATAACATTGACAGACAACAAACCTGATGAGCTAAGATATTATTTTCTTCACTTTGAGTTTGAGGTAACATCTTCACCATGTGCAGATTGACCTAGAAGAACGAAAAGGAAATTGTGAATTCCAGTTCCGCAGAGGAATGAATAATGTAGTCACCACAAAAAAAAGGGTAAGGTGATCAGATAATAAATGCAGTCTAGACAGTTTGCTTGTGAAAGTGCAGAGCAAAAGCCACCCCCTACTGATTTAATCATGATAGTAATTCCTATATTATCAACTGCTTACCTCTGCTTCCATTGCACGAAGTTCATTGAAGCACTCAGAGTCATCGCTCTCTTTATGGTTTTCTCCAGATATAGTGCTAAGACTGAGTGCAAAATAGGGAGGCCTTAATGGATACTCCATGCTGATCTTAATCTGCCAGAACAGAATGATAAGCAATGTGAAAAGGTTTATATTTGAAGCAAAAGCATGACCAAGTACGACTCTATGAATTACTAGCTACCTTGGCTTCTAACTTCACATTCCTCTTATCCTTGTCAACTCTCCTGGTTAAAACAAGACAATATTCTCTGACCCCAAAATCCACCCATGACGTTCCAGCCACCCCAAAGCATTCAACATACGCTAAATTTTCTTCCTCTAGCACATGTGCAGGTTCGTCCTGATCACTCTCTGTATCCAGAAGAAGATCTAAATCTTCATCAAGTTTCTTATAACTTAGCGATTTGGCCTTGCTGATTGGAGGTCTTTTTGGAACTAAGGACGGCCGTCTGGGGTGGTCAAGAATAGCTCCTTTATGGTGAGCAAGTTTACTATCATTGGCAATGGATGCAGCTGGAACTAAAGATGGAAGTTCCCCATCTTCTCTGATACTCTCCAGCTCTTCCTTTGAAGAACCAGATCGTCCAACCAAATCAACATCCATAGGCTCCTGACCCTGCTCCTTATCTAGGACAGACAAAGATGATGCCACATTAGGTGGAGGCCCAACAGGTGAAAAACCATGCAATTTGCACAAAGGGGTATGCAAAGCCCATGGAACACTTTCACAAGACACAGACGGCCATTTAAGCTTCATAAGTGATTCGATCTGTTCCCTGTAAGCCAATGAAAGAATGCCAAACTTCTCAACATAGGCATACCTAACCACACTCGCAAACAAAACACTAAGGGATTTGCAAAAGAAATAAAATTTCTCTAATAGGCATACAAGTGGTAGACAGATAGAGCGGAGCTAAGATCCAAAGAAAGGAGCAAGCACCAAAGAAAGAAGCATAACACATACTCATACTTTATATCAGGAAAAATACCAAAGCAGTTGCAACCAGGTAAAACAAAACACAATTGCTAGCATTAGGATTTGATCACATTTATCCTTATCCTATAGAGTTTCTAGAATGTTCTTGACGATTCAAGACTCTAAATATACTGGTGACTCACACAAGAGCCATCTGAGCTTTTCTCCGAGAGCGAATTCTTCGCACAACTGTCTGTATTCGGTTCTGGTGGCGGTAAAGTGACAGACCAGATATAACAGCATCACTTTTAGCAGTATCACAACTTGGAGTTTCAGGGGCAGCAAGCAAAGGTGCCACCTCAGGCAAGAAATCAATTCCCGCCAAATGCTGGGCCCACTTATATGGACGGGAAGTTCTCTTTTCATCAAATGCAAGAGTATCACCCATAACGAGCTTGGCTGACTGTATCAACAAAAACAAAAAAAGTACCGAGGATTATGAATACTTAATATAATAGACATCAATAGAAGAGGCATATAGATAACAGAAGACCACCAAAAAAAACAAACAGAGGAGAAATAACCTGATGGGGAAGCTCAAGGCCAGTGTCATCTGGGAATAGGTTGCATAAGGTGCTATTTTCCGCTGCATCATTGGATCCTTCAATTCCAACACATACAACATTCAACTTCAACAAAAACTCAAACTTGAGGGTGATAAGTTTTGCCGACTTGGGATCAGAAACCTCATCATCATAAATATGAAGGATGATTTTCAGCGGATGAACTTGATACAGTCCTGACTGTTCAAGGTTTTGCTTGACCGGAGCCCTCTTTGGCCGCTTTCTCCTTCTCTGCCCATCATCTTCCTCATCCAGTGCATCATCATCCCTACTAGTCTCTACACTGGTAGACACTCCTGTTCCATTACACAACATTAATGATAAGCGGGCCTAAACCAAATCCAAAACGAAAACCAAATCAGTCGAAAATCGATTAGTTTCAACCGGGCAACTGCAAACCACCATAAAGCATCAAAATTTATATCCGAATCTACGATTCTACGCAGTAAGAGTCAAGCAGTACTTACCAGGCTCCTTATTTGCTTGCTTATGGGCAAAAGCTTGAGCGTCCTTCACACTCCCCACTATATCCAACTCAATCTGTTCATCAAATGCCTCCTTCTGCGCCATGAACTGCGAGTAAACTACATACAGAGGCGGTGGAAGCAACTCTGCAGCGTGATGCTGCTTGAGCTTCTTGGTATGCTGAAGCCCCAATTGGTTCTGCACCGGCAAAGAAGCCTTCTTTAGCGACTTTAAGTGCGAAGGAAGACTGGACAAGAACTTCTTCCGATTGGCAATCATCTCCAACAGACCCTTCTTATGAATCTCAAGCTTCTCATGATGCTTGCAGAGCTCCTTGCGCTGGTGGAGCTCAAAATTGAGCCTCTTGAGCATAATGTCATGCCCTGCATCATTCGACAGCGTCGGCTCCTTGATATCGGCCGGGGCGTCGCGAAAGAACTCTTCTTCCGGGACCAGCTCGATGTCCGGGTACTTAGACTTGAAGTCCTTGCAAGCTTTAATGGCCTTCACGTAGTGGCTCTTCTCGTACATCAGATTGTGGAGCTGCAGCGTCGTCAAGTCCACCGGAGCCTTCGCACTCTCCGTCCCCGCCTTCACGCGGTCCTCCTCGAGCAAGATCGAACGATTCGCCTGCAAATTCAATATTCAATCATACAAAACACGAAATTCAACAACCCTAAAACCCTAAAGCCCTAATTTTTGAAAAATGTGAAACCCTAGAAAGATTAGAGAACCTGGCGGAGGGTGACGAAGTTGAGGAACATCTGAGTGACGAGCTCGCGGAGCTCCGATTTAGGTTTGGCTTCTTTTTTGATGGTGAGCATCTTCGTCACTATGTCCTCAACTGAGGACTTGCTCTCCTGAAGCATTTCGTACGGGGATTTTCCCGGCTTCTTCGGCGGCGGCGGAGCGGCGTCTTCCTCCACCAGCATCCCCTCCTCTATCTCATCGTCTTCCATGTTTCCTCTCAAGTTGATTTTCCTGTGTGACTGTCTTCGTTATGGTTTATTGAAACGGGAAAGAAAAACCTAGTAAAAACAGGAATTGCTTTATAACTAATTTATGAGTTTATTGCAAATGCGCCTCTTTAACTTTACGGAATATTTTTATCTGGTCCTAAATTTCTCTAATATCCCAAGTTGCTCCTACAACAACTAACCCTTCTATCTATTTTTTAATATGAAAGTTTCCTCAGTAAACACAATCCCAAAAGTTCCAAGACCAAAAAGTAACGAACAGCGTCGTTGGACTACAATGAAACAATCTCAGAAGATTAGGAGGCAAGTATGTAATTAATTAACCCTTATTTTCTTAATTGCTTTGGCCTTTTTCCCTCCTGACGGAAACGGCGACGCTCGGGTATTTCGTGATAGAGATTATGAGTGCATAGGATTATAACAAGGGTCGGTCTCATTTGGCAGTTTGGACTATACTGACTATTTCAGTCAGATAGGATAATTTATTATCGGATAATACTAACTATTTAATTAGGCGTTTGCCGCAATACCGGATTAAAACTCAATTCATCAAAGATTATCATGTTCATTTACTTCCTCAAAAGGAGATTGAAAAACATTTATGGCACTGCGTTTCACAATTTAAAACTAGTAAGAGAGATGGAAAAAGAGTCAGCTTGATTTTGTTTTCAGCGACATGACTAATTAATACCGACAATTTGGAGTGTATACGTTATCCGGCATATGTTGTATAAAATAGGCCGGACATCATAAATAATCCAGTGCAAATTTAATACGGAATGGCACCAAACACCGGATAGTATTAAATAGTACTATCCGATGTGTTATCCAGCATGCCAAACACGCCCTGTGTTATTGGTAATGCATTAGTAAAGAGGTGTCTCACTAATGTATAAATATCAGTAGTTGTATTTTTTTTTTTGTCAAAATATCAATAGTTGTAATTATTTTATACAAGTTGAATAGAAAGAGAATATTCAGTTCTAACAACTTTTCCCTATTTTCTTTCTCTCTCTAGTTTGCTTAGTTCTTAAGCTTTTACATGGTTGACATGGTATCTTCGCCGGAAGTGGCTCACACCTCCGGTTGACAATCCTTTGTGCTTCCTTTACTTTTCTCCGGTAGTGGTTGGTCTGCGGTATCATCTCCGATCATCCGTTTTCATCTTCTTCGTTTGCGTTTTGGTATCAGGTGATCGCACTGCATCGTC